CACACACACACACACACACACACAGACAAACACACACACTCACATGTGCAGTTGCAAGATTGAACAAAGCTGAAGCATCACCTAGTTTTTGACTTGTTTAAGGAACCAGGATGGCTTAACAGGAACAGTGGTGTATGCTGTGAAGTAAGGATTCATAGTTCCAGACATTTAATGAACATTTAACTAAGTTTTAGTTGTTTGAAAACATGTCTTTTGCAGAGTCTAACGTATATTAATAGTCTTTTGTTTGTAGGCTATTGGCTGTAGGCAGAAATAAGCTGGGCTGGAGCCAACCACAGCTGAGCGCCACCTCTCTAAGGACCCTACAGGACGTGATTTGTAGGCCTGAAAGTATGAGGCACACTACTCTGCCTTGAGGCTAGCACAGGCATGAGTTGACAACCATACTTATTGTGCCATAGACTTTCTCCCCTGAGCACCACTACCTCCACCTGTCTTTACAACCTATCCCCTCTGAAACAGGAATCCATGAAGAACTATATTCATGACTCATTAGCCTCTGGGATTATCAGACCCTCTTCCTCTCCTGTAGGTGCATGCTTCCTCTTCATGTCAATGAAAGGTAACTCTTTGGCCAAGCATAGACTACCATGGCCTGAACCAAATCACAGTAAAGAACAAGTCTCCACTCCCACTGATCAGTTCCATCTTCAAGCCTCTCTATGGACCTCCATTACACCTACCACCTGGTTAAAATTTGTGAGGGAGTGGTAGATGGTATTCAACACATCCCTTGGTCATTTTGAGTATATGTCCTCCGCTTCAACTAAGCGTGGTCCTCTTCATCCACCAACAGGAGCTGCATTCCTTTGCTTTTAGTTTTTGCCTGTCACATGCGGAGCACAATTGCAATCGTGAGTTGCTGGTGGAAAAACTAACCCAGGAGGAATGGAGACACTGGCCTGACGGAGCTGAAAATTGGTGGGGACACATATTAGGTGGGGGGTCTGGGGGTCCTGCCATATGGAAGGCTTTCTTTCAGGCCCTCGGTGCTGCAGTGAGCCTCTCCTTGTGGTTTCATAAAAAAAGATAAAAGCACTGGCAGCAAATAACCGTTTACATGTTATAAAAGGTGAAAAATAATGCATTTTTAACTGTAATGCAGTTTTACAGTGAAAATATATTAAGTTACAGTATATGTAGTTAATACATGTTTATTAAACTGTGGAAAAAGGACACTTTCCAGGTAAATCTGTTTGTTACTTTATGAAATAGCCCATTGAAGCCCATTTCATTGAAATGAAATAAAAAATTAAAGAAATGTGTAAAATTGCAAGTAAAACCAAAGACAGATATCTGCACTTTACAGTAATCATCTTTCAATTTAGAGAATTGCTAGATCTAAAAATGGTTACGTTCAATGTTCAAATCAGTACTCAGGTGGGTGAGGAGGTCGAGTGATCCCACCAGTAGGGCCATGTTGTTTGCCAGCGCCAATCCCTGGGCAGTGTCAGTGTACCAGCAGTCAAAAAAAACCTCACCCTCAATGGCCGGCATATCATTGTCCCTCTACGATGGAGTGAGGCCTGTACGCCACCGCCAGAGGTTTGGCGCTCATTGGCGACAACCACTCGTGGCGTAGTCAATAATGGGCTCCATCTTTGAGGTTTAAGGTTTCCTGTGTGAAATCCTGGACAGGTGTCTTGGGGGGTGCCTGGGGGTAAGAGGAGGTAATCCTCTTGGCAGTCGAGGCAAAGGGTGCTTGGCATGGCTTCCAGCAGGTAGCGGTGGTCCGCCGCCGGTCCTTCCTCATCCTTGAAGGAGGAAGGCTGGAGGGAGTCGGCAGACGTAGTGAAGCGTGAGTAGTCAGCCTCAGTACTATGTCGTCGAACCTAGGCAGCGAAAGCAGGAGTCATGGGTGTCCAGCGGCAGCAAAGATGAGGCGCAGGATGAACCAGTTCGGGTGTAGCACACATGATGAGCCTAGAGAGGGTGAACCAATAGTGAAGCCCATTAGAGGGCGGAGCACATACGAAATAGATATTATACCAATAAATGTTTGCTTGCAAGGTTTGGCTTTGAGGTGGGGAAACCAACATTAGTCAGGCTTTTCTGGTTAGGCACCTATCTAACCAAGAGGGAGTGGGAAGAGAGGCAGTGGACGTGTGCTGGGTGGTGGCAGCATTGTGGGTGGGGGCAGCATGCCGGCAATCCTGCAAGACTTTTCTGCATCTGGGGTCCCTCCTCATTGCTGCCACCGAGTCAGCAGCATATCCCAATGCCTTTTCAGGGCCTTTTCGGCCACAGGTTATTCATTTAAATATCTATATACCTCTATTTGCACCGAAGTACACTATTAGAAAAATCAAACAAGGACAACTGCACCTGGATCCCTCGAAGTGACGTTGCCTCTGCAGTGCTCAGACCGCATTGTTTTTTCTCACCAGCACCCATGTGTCTCTCATTTTCCTCCTATTTTAATTTGTCATTTTTACGGCAACCCTGACCGCTCAACGCACTGCAGACAAGAAAACACATGTAATTGGACAAAACACAACCAAATACGTAAGCACCATACCCTACAAGCAAAGAAACACTAAAAAGTGATGCACACATTATTATTTCATCAGATTACTTTAATAATAAGCATACGGCTAATGCAAGGTTAAGAGCACATATCTGCTATAACCTCTAAATCATGCATTGGTAAAATAAACCAGGCTCATTTTCCAACACCACTGATGGACAGCTGGGTTCATTAACTTCATAAACCAAAAATCAAAGTGTGTCCCAGCCATGTGCATCACTTTTTAGTAGCCCCTGGAAACAGTTTCCATTGAGTTGTGTGCTAGTAAATATTAAGATTATGTGGCCCATACGGTAATTTAACTTCCCTACTAAATTAAGCCATTACTCTTATCTTTGCATATTTAGATGGATAGACAAAAAAGATAGAGAAACAGGTAATTCCTGGCAGTTTGGGGTCCCTGGTTATTTAAAGGCAAGATGATTTAGTTGGAGACAGATTACTGCTGAGAGGCCTATTACAGCTAAACACTGCTGTGTGTGTGTGTGT